TAGACAGATGAATACATTAGAATGTGACACTTTATTAAATTCAATTATTTATCAATTATTAAATTTAAACACTTTGAAAATTTAATTTGTTACAAAGTTTTTAAGGAAATTTTTTAACAAATTTAATTATTTTCAGTTAAATTTTACAAAATTTCTATGCTTTCGATAATTTTTTAAAAAATTTATTTACATACTATATTTAAATCCGTGACTGTTTTTTACTATCAAATTAATTATTTTTAAGGCTATGTCCAAGTGGTGAAATGTAAACAAACCAAAAGGTTACTATACCAGCACTAAAATCGCAATTTTGCGACAGCCAATTCTCCCACAAAAAATATCATTTTTACACTTTCTTTACGAAAATGGAAAATTAGAGTATCAAAGTTTCCAAAAAAATCATTTTTGACTATGAGCAATAAAAAGCAATTAGTAAAATAACTAATTAAAATGACCTGTAAAACAGCATTTTTGACGTGTCGCGAAAAATAAACTGTTTGAGTATATCAACCGCACGGATGATGAAGAAGTTCCATGTCAGCGATTGGACCTTCAACATGTGGAAGGGTAAATTTTTCCCTTTCCCCCTTGAAATTATAAGAGAAAGGGTAAAAACTTCTTCATCGTCCGTGCGGTTGATATAGTCAAACAGTTTAATTTTTCGCGACGTGAACTCTGTTGCTCGCTGCGCGTGCGCAGACCGTACCAAGGTCGCAATGACATCACCATGCAAAAAGGCACATTTTGTTTTTGACTGAAACTCAGTGGTTTTCTCATTTTTTCAGTTATTCAAAGTTTCGTAACCAAATTCGATACTTTAGTTCACCATTTCCATAAAGAAAATGTGAATTTATATTTATTTACGCAAATGGGAACGGCGAAAAAATGCTTCACTATTCGGTCTATAATGAAGCATTTTTTCGCTGTTCGCATTTGCGTAAATCAATATAAATTCACATTTTCTTTATGGAAATGGCGAACTAAAGTATCGAATTTGGTTACTACACCTTGCATAGCTGAAAAAATGAGAAAACCACTGAGTATCATTTAAAACCAAAACTAAGAATGCATTGACAGCACCATGCGAAAATGCACATTTTGTTTTCGACTGAAACTTAGTTATTTTCTCATTTTTTTCAGCTATGCAAGGTGTAGTAACCAAATTCGATACTTTAGTTCGCCATTTCCATAAGGAAAATGTGAATTTATATTTATTTACGCAAATGGGAACGGCGAAAAAATGCTTCACTATTCGGTCTTTAATGAAGCATTTTTTCGCCGCTCCCATTAGCGTAAATCAATATAAATTCACATTTTCTTTTTGGAAATGGTGAACTAAAGTATCGAATTTGGTTACTAAACCTTGCATAACTGAAAAAAATTAGAAAACAACTAAGTTTCATTCAAAAGAAAATGTGCACTTCTACATGGTGCTGTCAATGCATTCTAAGTACGGTCTGCGCAGGCGCAGAGAGCAACAGGGTCTCAGGTTGCGAAAAATTAAAGTGTTTAACTATATCAACCGCACGGACGATGAAGAAGTTTTTACCCTTTCTCTTGTAATTTCAAGGAGGAAGGGGAAAAATTTCCCTTTCCACATGTTGAAGGTCCAATCGCTGACATGGAACTTCTTCATCATCCGTGCGGTTGATATACTCAAACAGTTTATTTTTCGCGACGCGTCAAAAATGCTATTTTACAGGTCATTTTAATTAGTTATTTTACTAATTGCTTTTTATTGCTCATAGTCAAAAATGATTTTTTTGGAAACTTTGATACTCTAATTTTCCATTTTCGTAAAGAAAGTGTAAAATTGATATTTTTTGTGGAAGAATTGGCTGTCGCAAAATTGCGATTTTAGTGCTGGTATAGTAACCTTTTGGTTTGTTTACATTTCACAACTTGGACATAGCCTTAACTCAAATTTAATTCAAATTTAGAGAACAGTATAAATATAAAATAAAAAAATTTAATTAAAAGCGATTTTTTAAAAACAAATTAAAATAATAAAACTTTTTTTAATTTGGTGAAAAAATTCCCGGTTTAGCATGAAATTCCTGGCTTATTCCCGGTCAATTAAAATTTTTCGGCTATTTCCCGGTTATTAGGCACCCTGTGAAACATCTAAATTGGAAATATTTAGATAAATTTTTTTAATCCCTTTCTAATTTGTCAAAAAAATTTAGCAAAGAATATTATACCATTAAAATAAGTTATTACAATAATTTTTGAAAATAGTTATCTGCCATTTTAAATTTTCAAAAACTGACTTCAGATTCGTGAAGCAGCGACTCGAATAACCCCTAGGTATCAAGTTCTATGAGAATCCAACAATTTTTTGAAAATTCGTCCGCCATATTGGATCCGCGATTTTGAATTTTCAAAATCTTCAGATTCGTAATCAGCGACCCCAAAAACTCTTAGATAACAAGTTTTATAAAAATCCAACAATTTTTGAAAAAGTCAACCACTATATTGGATCCGCCATTTTGAATTTTCAAAAACTGGCTTCGGATTCGTAATGAGCATCCCTAAAAACCCCTAGATACCAAGTTTCAAACAAATTCAACTTTAAGAAAAATGTATGCATTTGGAAACCACTTTTCCGGTGGAAAGTCATGCGCTAGAGGATTAAATATGACGCATGTGTGTAAATCACTCCTCCCTCGATAGAGCCAGCACTACAAAAGCGGTAAAATTTAAATTATCAATTAAATGAATAAAATAGTTAATATTGGGTGAGGCTGGTTCTGTCGTGGTAGAGGATGTGTTTGTGAAAAACTTCCTTAATAATAAAGGAAAAACTTTGTCGCGAGAAGTTTTTACAGATTGAAAATTCCCTGGATAACTTTTTGATTTGAAAGTTGGAAAGTGGGTATAGAATTTAAACTACAACTTTGTTATTATTTATTCTTAAACAATATGAATATTGTTTAATTGTTTTAGGCTTATCGGCTTCAGTAGGACTTAATTTGTTTGCATATCAAATTTGAAACAAATTGATTAAGATTTGTTCAATAAATGACGAGTTATGTTTTTAAAGTTCATTAAATTTCATAAAAAAAATTTCTAGTTTTTTGTCTTTATTATTTAAAATTCTTAATTTACAAAAAAAAATACAAAGAAAAAAAAGATGGGCATTTTTATTTTCTATACCATAGTGTTTTTAAAAAATTAAAATGATTAATTTTACTTTTTACACTTTTGGTTAACCTAACTGGTAGAGTTGTGCAAAAAGCTTGAAGCTCGATCGAGCTTTTCATTTTTCGATCCGAGCCGAGCCTAATCAGTTCGAGCTCGAGCCGAGCTGTGTAAAAAGCTCGAATAGTTTCGAGTACTCGAACGCTTTAAGTACTCGAGTTAATTCGAGTACTCGAATTTTTCGAGCACTCGAGGGAATTTGAGTACTCGATTTAATTCAAGTACTCGAATTTTTTCGAGCTCTTAAGTAAATTCGAGTTTTAGAGAAAATTCATATAATTTTCGCATATATTATATTTAGCAAATAGAAATACACTTTGAAATTAAAGATTTCTTTACTTTATTGATTCAGTAATTCGAATAAATTCGAAATTTTCTACTTATTAATAGTTTTTTTAGTAAGTCAAAAGCTCGAATCCATTCGAGTACTCGAATTTAATTGAGTACTTGAATTTACCCGAGTACTCGAATTTTTCGAGTGCTCGTTACATCGAGCCGGCTTAGGCTCGGCTCGGCTCGACATTTCGAGCTTTTTGCACATCTCTACTGACTGGCATACAGGCGGCCCGTTCGAGCGTAGGGGCTGTTATAGAATCCAGGGGCTCAATTGTTCCTTGAAGGGCTATATGTAGCTCTAGGAACTTATTCTAAATAAATAAATAAATAAATAAATAATATTATCATTACAAAGTTGTATCTTTAAAAGTTTTTTCAAAATTTATTTTTGAAATACCGTTTATTTTTCAGGCGTTCAGGGTGGTGTAACATCTTAAGTTTGCGAACAATTAAACAACAATACAATATGTTCAATTGATTGTTAATCAAAACAATAATTAATAAATCTGTAATATATTTCCTTACTTGAACAACTTCTGGGCGCTACGCGCGCCCATTCGTTGTTTTTTAACTATAAAACAAAAACGATAACTTTTAAATAAAAACGCTTTCATTTAAAAATATCACACGAATCCCATAATACATTTAAGTAATTTTCATATGCTTCAATACCTTGAAAATGTTCACCTAAAATATTTCGAATATCCAGTAGAACGAAGAATTCTTATATCCTACAGATATCGTAGAATATCTTAAATATCTTCTATAGACATCTTGAGATTATTCATTAGTCTTTGGAAATTAAGATATCAATGAGATGTAATAATTTTATTTATGGACGTCCTAAAAATATCCTAGGGATACCATAATTGTATAGAAATAAGGAACATCCAGGGTATTCTTAAATATCACCTTAGTAACACATGCCATTACAGTAATGTGACCGTAATGTTTTTAATATATCAATGTAACATCAAATTGAAATTTCAATAACATTAACTATGTCTACCCCAATGTGATATTTTAAGTTATTGCAGTTACATTACATGGTAATATTACCGTAGTATTGCAGTAATGTAAAAGTATTATCGCAAAGAAAGATAAAAACAATTCTTTGTAAATGGAATTCGGTGATCTTTTTTCGTATCATTACGGTAACATTACTGTAACACTACTGTAATAATACCTAGTTTATATTTTATATATATACAAAGAAATACCATCCGACAGCACTATGAACGCTACCAAGAAGGGAACAAAAATGGCGTAGCATGACTGCGCGCGCACAAAGATGTATTTTCGTGTTAATTATTCAATTTAAAATAAAAAAAATTTATTAATAAACAAAAACTTTTTTTTAATTAAACTGTATTTCAATGTTTTTTCTGTAACTTTAAATTAACATTCATTTTCTAATCTAATTAAATTAACACAACAATGCACCAATAGCAAGCGTTGTCGCCGACAGCGTTATCATCTTAGCAAGAACCAATAACAAGCATAAAAATAGCAGATTTCTTATATAGGATATAAAAATGTAATAATGTATGGGTCAAACTTACAACATCAGAAGCGGTATTAAATGAATCACTTAGAAGACTTTCAATAGCGAGCCATTTGATTGGTCGATTTTCATTATCACCAAGGCAATGATAATCTTGAGGAAAGAGATCTCTAGCCAAAGCATTGTCTGTAATTTGAACTCTTAAATCTTCATCCACCCTAAATAGAGAAAATATCATTATTAGTATATATTTGTACAATAATAATCAATAGTGATATTAATATACGGCCAAATACCACAACATTTCATCACAATATTGCCAATATTGTTTTAAGATTAACTATGTCGACCCTGTTTCTATATTGTTTGGCTCTGTTGATGCAACATTGTCAAGACATATTATCTCCCAATAGAGATAATGATTGAAATATATGAATAACTTTTCATAAATATACACTACCGTCCACGAGTATCAGGATGATTACACGCGACTCTTTGAAGTCATTTCGTTAATTTTTTTTGAGTTGTAGAGTAAGAAAGAAATAAAAAAAATTATCAAATTTTCTCATTTTTGGCTCTTGTTTTCAAGTTTTTCAAAAATCTAGAAAAATTTACATAAATTTTTTCTAAAAACACAGAAATCTTCGTTACAATTTCAGCTTTAAAATAAGCCTTTGAAAACTAAAAAGATTAATCTGTCTTCGATATATCATTAAAAATGTGAAGCCGTGTTTCGACGATTGGTGCATTGGAATTTAACTGTGACGACTCGATTCTAGCATCGCGTGGTTGCGAATGGGAGAGAAAACAGGAACTGATTTATGCTGGGGAATAATAAATAATGATGTTTCACAAGTAATATAAAGAAACTCGAAAGTTCATAGTTCCCCCGCATGATTTCGTCCCTGCTTCCTCTCTCATTCGCAGCCGCGCGAAGCCAGAATCGAGTCGTCACAGTTGAATTTCAATGCACCAATCGGTCGAAACACGGCTTCACATTTATAATGATATATCGAAGATGGATTAACCTTTTTTAATTTTCGAAGGCTTATTTTAAAGCTGAAATTCTAACGAAGATTTATGTGTTTTTAGAAAAATGTTATCTGAATTTTTCTAGATTTTTGAAAAAGTTGAAATCAAGAGCCAAAAATGAGAAAATTTGATAATTTTTATATTTCTTTCTCACTCTACAACTCAAAAAATAGTTAATAGTTAATAGTTAATGGAAAAACTGTTCATAAAGTTTTAGGCTTACCCGTTCCATTATACAGTGATTCATCTTCAAACATTAAAGTTCAATCTTTAGAAGGCCTCTTTTTAAAAAATATAGATGTTTTTATTTGGGATGAAGCACCAATGGCTCCAAAATATGCTTTAGAAATTATGGATTATCTATTCCAACGAACCTTTTGGTGGTAAAATTGTAATCCTAGGCGGAGATTTTCGACAAACTTTACCAATTAAAGAACAGGGTACTTAATCAGAAATAGTAAATTTATCAATAAAAAATAGTAAACTATAGAAATATTTCAAAAAATACACATTAACAGATAATATGAGAGCTCTACCACAAGAAACGGAGTTTGTAGATTTTTTACTTAAAGTTGTCAATGGTGAATTAAATAATGCAGATGATAATGTTATATTACCAGAACATATTATTCTAAAAGGGAATAGGTACACAAAATTTAAAATAAAATTTAATCCTTTAAAGATAAAATGTTTTTAATAACTATGTGTGTATCTTTAGAGTAATATTAGAAACTTTTCGGTGTAAAAACATTTCCATTTTTAATAGCAGAAAGAAAAGGGGCGTGCGTAGCGCGTAAAAATAGTGACTAGTTTATATAAATTTTGTAAGATGGCTATAATAGTTTAATGGTTACACAAAATTTTTTAAACAAAAAAGTTGAGAAAACGATATTTTCCACAATTTTTGATTTTTAAAATACCAATAAATTCTGATCGAATTAGATTCAAAAGTAAGTCAATTCGAATGTTTTTAATGCAAAAAATATAGTCTAACTTTATGAAATGATCGATCTCCCCTGGAAAGATCTAAAATTTAAAATATGATTAAAGCTTTTACCTCTTTCTGGTTTTGAGATATTAACCCTCTGCCTACTCAAGTGACTGTTATCGACAAAAAACGACAATTCATCGCCTGGTTGGGACTATGGGAATTATATTTAAAAGCGCTAGAGTGAGGATAAGTCGGCGTAGGCAGAGGGTTAAGACTGATGAAGGGAGACCGGGGTTACTTAGCACACTTTTCACTCTTTATTATTTAACTTAAACATTTTTGCTTTTTTAAATCCTTATTGCAAAGAAAACTTGTTGCAATGAGAGCGATTTCATAATAAATTTTTTATCCCACATGCACAAAAATGTCGCTTTTAGATAGCTGACGACAGGACGTAATGGTCATTCATTTGTTCGATCGTATGAAAATGGCGTTCAATTTTTTCCTAAGACAAAAAAACAGCTGTTCCCATGAGTTATTTTTGTCCTAGGAAAAGAATGAACGCCATTTTCATACAAGTCAAACAATTAAATGACTTTTACTCCCTGTCGTCTGCTATCTGAAATCGCCACTTTTATGCATTTGGAATAAAAAGTATCGTAAGTACACTACCGTTTGAAATTGAGGGACCACCCATTTTCAGGTGAATGAAAAACATTTTAAAACATAAACTGTATTGAAACTAAAATTTCTTTCTTTTTTTTTGAAAGATGATATAATTTTGAAAAGAATAAGATTTTTCAGAAGTCATTTGACCAATATTTTATTTAGATATTTTTAAAAAATCCTCATTATCAATGTTTTACAAAATTTTGAATAACTTCTAAAATAATTAACGCTTTTTAATGACATTTGGCTTATTTTAAAGATGACTTTCTACACTATGAGAATAACTTATAGGCCACGGTTAGCTTGAATTAAGTTTAACCCAAAAGTGCTCCCCCAACCAATTTTTCTTCTAAATCTTAGGGTCAGTTTCACCAACATCGATTAAGGTAGTGTTATAGTCTGTAAGCAGTGAAAAATGAGTTGAAACAACATTTTTTTCTTGGTAATGAATTTATTTAAAGTAATGAAACTTTTTGCATCATATTATTGCAAATTTTGCCTGTCAAGAATAAAAAAAATTTTGTTTATTGATGATTTTTTAAAATCGGTTGAAAATAACTCGAGTTATGCTGTCCGCCAATTTGAAAAACATCGTTTTAAGAAAAACGCGTTTAAATTGCCATTACGCGCGTATAACTTTTTTATTTCTTTGAATTTTAATCTATAATTTAGGAATTATCTTTTTCAGATAATTTAGAACACAAAAGTAAATGAAAAAAATCGATTTTTTGATCGACACAAACAATAATACTACCTTAAAAGTGAGCGGTTAAACTCACGTTAATCATTGATTAATCATTTAATCGTAGTTGGTGAAACTGACCCTTATTCTGTCTATTCTGGCTATGTCCAAGTTGTGAAATGTAAACAAACTAAAAGGTAAACAAACCAAGCACTAAAATCGCACTTTTGTAACAGCCATTTCTCCCACAAAAATGAACATTTTTACACTTTAGTGAGATCTTATTTTGTTTTTTTGAAAAAATCCATTCATATAATTTTATAATTATTTATTAGATAATTATTATATAATAATATAATTATTATAATTTTAAATTACAAATCCAAACAAAATAACATCGTAATATATATTTTTACACTTTCTTTACGAAAATGGAAAATTAGAGTGTCAAAGTTTCCAATGAAATCATTTTTGACTATATGAGCAATAAAAAGCAATTACTAAAATAACTAATTAAAATGACCTGTAAAACAGCATTTTTGACGTGTTGCGAAAATAAAACTGTTTGACTATATCAACCGCACAGATGATGAAGAAGCTCCAGAGAGCGATTGGACGTACAACATGTAGAAAGGGAAATTTTTCCCTTTCCTCCTTGAAATTACAAGGGGAAAGGGTAAAAACTTCTTCATCGTCCGTGCGGTTGATATAGTCAAACAGTTTAACTTTTCGCGACGTGAACTCTGTTGATCTCTGCGCATGAGCAGACCGTACTAAGTACGCATCGACAGCACGATGCGGAAGTACACAGTTTGTTTTGCAATGAAAATTTAGTTGTTTTCTCATGTTTTCAGCTATGCTGGGTATAGTTACCAAATTGAATACTTCAGTTCACCATTTTCATAAAGAAAATGTGAATTTATACTTATGTACGAAAATGAGAAGTCGTAGAGTTGTCACCTCTTCGGGCCTCGCCCGGAGACTCCGGGCTGCGAAGTAGATCTCCGGGTTTCCGGGCCGCAAGTAAATTCCTCCGGTCTTCGGTTATTTTCAAAAAAAACTTTTAATTTTAAGTATTAAAACGATAACACATCATGGCTGAATTATTAACTATTCTCCCTATTCTTTATTGTATGGTAGAAGCTTCAGGGAGCATTTACACCTTCCGTTCTGGACAATTTTTACAGAAGGTGTAAATGCTCCCTTACTTTTTCTCTACATTCTGATAGTGACCGTAAGCCGAAGGCACAATACGTCTAAAAACTAGTCCCATGTCTGCGTAAAAACGTTAAAGCGCAAAAAAAGTTGCAAGTAATGAAAAATATTCTTGCAAGCTAAAGTAAGTTGTAATTTTAATTTTAAATATGATTTAAATAAATTGAATTTTTTAGTAAATTAAGGCAAATTAAACGAAAACATTCGGACAATAAATAAAATATTTATTTACTCCAACGTTTCGAAATCTAAATGATTTCTTCTTCAGGGAGTCTATCCAAAAAAATATACAAAATTAAATAATAATAAGCTTTATTCTATAATTAATTCGAAGCAGATTTATTGGTAAGTTTAAATAAAAATTATATCTATTTATAAATGTCCATTTTTCGTGTTAGACAAATAGTGTGTTAAACTCAATTGTAGAGTTTAATTAAAAAAGTGTTGTGTTAAGTGTAAATATGATTCTCATTTCTTATATCCCTAGCTTGATTAACAAAAAAAATAATCATAAAAAAACTAAACAGATTTCGTAAAAAATCGATTTTTCAAAAAGTTTTTAATTTTTAGGGTAATTTCGCTCATGGGACGAGTGCAAAAAAAAGTGACGAATGCTTCTAAATATTTTAAATATTCGTCAGAGCAAATGGAAAATGCACTTAAAGAAGTGAGGAAAGGGAGGAAATCAA